CCTGGCTTTTTTGTTCTCGTGATAACATGTTTTGGTGGAACTTTACATGAGAAATGCAGCAGGTGAAAGGAGAAACTAGCACGAGCATTAATAACAGCAGAGTGCAATGAAGGCTCACCTAAATAAGCCCAGTGCAAATAAACAGGCTCGCTAATAAAGTCATTTTCTTTATTTATCTCTGTCCTGGTCTTATTATTTCACTCAAGTGCAGGTTACAGTATATTTCCAGATGCATTTCTTTCTTACCTTTGGTTTAGTTAATAAACGTTTCAGTCAGGCCTGCTGTCGTCTTACACACAAACAAATGATTCCAAGGCCGACTGAAGAAAACAGCGTATTTATTCAACAACGGCTTCTGAGGAGCGCGTGGAATAAGTTGGATCAATGCACCTCTAACCTTGATGAAGACCACAAGCTGAAACTCAGAGGTTAAACTATAAAGTTGTTCTTCATACTCCAAGTGTTACTGAGGTTTGAACCTGCACACAGTTCTCCTGCAGAGCCTGAACTTTCCACGTCCACGGATCAATACACATTAAAACTCTCGCTGCCACTAAGAAACTGACTAATCGATGGCAGTTAGTGCACAAATACCAAACACTGAATGCGTGAAGCATTTCCAACTATTTCAATACACGAGGAGCCTTCTCCTGCAGAACGATGCCGTCCGCGTGTTTAAGCACATCATGGCCACTGTTACTGCATTTTGGGTTGATAATGTAACCTGGTGGCACTCCACTGCTGCTGTTTGTCGTTTTTTCTTTACATAAGATTCTGATAATAATGCCAATATAATAAGCATGGTGTGTCTTTATAGTCGATGCTCGTTTTAAGCGTGAAAAGTTGATTTCATTCATGATTAAAATGGATTATAGGTCACACGGGCTTCTACAGCCCTCTAATTACTGGACTACATAAATAAAGTAATGACTTTAGGTCCTAATCATGCTTTATTGCATTTCCACAGATTTGCACCATCCTCCTGGTGTGAGCAGGTGAAGCAGGATGTTACCCCAGCAATGTTCCCAGCTCCTCCCGAATCACTCCCAGGCCAGACGGGATGTAGAACCTCTCCAATGTGATCTGAGTTTAATCCTCAATGCTTAGACATCCTGATCAGCTGGTTCCATTCTTAAATGTCTAAAGGCTGAGTCGAGTCCTCCTGGAGACTAAGCTGATTTCTGCCATTTGTATCCAACCTCATTCTGTTTGTCACAGCTCGTGACCATAGATGCAG